TCTATAAAATAACCAGTCATGAAATACAAAAGACACAACAACTGTTCCACAATTAAAAAGATTTAAAAGACAAGAACTAAATGCGACGTGCATCCTAGATTGGATTCTGACCAAGAAAAAAAGGTTAGTTTGTTTTTCTATAAAGGACACTAGTGGGATTATCGGTGGTACTTTGAGGCCTGTCAATTAGATAATGCTGCATCAATGTTAATTTCCTGATTTAGATCATTATATTCTGGTTATGTCGGAAAACGTCCTTGTATCTAGGAAACACGCTCAAATATTTAAGATCAAAGAGGCATCATGTCTTCAACCTAATCTCAAACTGTTCAGGGAAAAAATATGTAACACAGAAAAACTAATAAAGCAAATATGGTAAAATGTTACCATTTGAGGAATCTGGAATAAGAGTAGATAGTAATTTTTGTACTATATTTGACTTTTATGGAAGTGTGAAATTATTTCAAAAGGAAGTTTTTAAAAAGAAGCATTTACTGAGGCTTTACTAAGTATTCTATTTAGAAAGGAAATTAATAATTGCCCTCTAGGAATATAAAAATCTGGCAGAAAAGAAAGGTAGTGAAGCTGAAAAGTACTATACAGAGAGACAATAGAGTGATAAGCCAGACAAATACAATCCTTTGGGAGGACAGAGAAAAGATATTTTGTCCCTACTGTGGGGAAATGTGAACAGTAAAATAAATCTAGAAGAAGGAGCATAGAGAAAGCTCTTCAAAGTGATAATAGCTAAACTGAAAGATGATGTCAGACAAGTGGGAAGGGGTGATGCATTCTAGGTAAATGAAAAGGTCCAGCATGCTACATTTAGAAAATTATAATTAAAGTTTTTAATACATCAGAGGGGGAGGCTGGTGGTAATCAAGCCCCAAATCTTAAAGAGCTTAGTATGCCATATGCAAGAACCTGGCTTTTAACCCACAGGCAATGGATGTGAGTACACATTTAAGGATGGAGTGATATTATTAATCAATTTCACTCTTGAAAAGCTCACTTTTTCAAGTATTTGAAAGATGGGTTATAAGAGGACAAAGCAAAAACAAATCCATTAGGTACCCATTTGTAGTAAACCAAAAGAAAAGGCTGATTGGGATAGAGAAGGGTGAAATTAAGGTGATATTAGGAAAGTCAAATCCACAGAAATTGGTGACCAATTAGAAGTGAGAAAAAGTGAGAAATAGGGAGAAGCATATGATAACTCCTAGTTTTCTGGCTTCCACTACTCCACTGGCCTCAATAGAGGTTGATGTTGTTTCTCCTTGTGAAAATCATAAGCAGACAAACTTCAAGTTCTGCTGAGCTTGAATCCTTATCAATTTGCTTTTATAAGCAATGCAAACACAAACAAGGTTGAGTGCAAACAGCAGAGTTAGAATAAGTCTGCTAAAATGTGTTGTAGTAAAATGATTTTGAGTTATCACATGTGTCATTTTCCCAGACTACCTCAGCCTGCAGCCTGTCCACGCCTTCTTGTACCTGCTCAGCCCTGGAGGCTTACCATTCAACATTCCTCCCTTTGAAATTCAAATGTATGGAGGCTATAAAAGGAAACAAGGAAAGTATATCTAAGAATAGAAAGAACTGAAGTCTACAGGATTTTCTGAACTTCATACTTAATCCTCTAATAATGAAGCAGTATGGCTGTAATTGGGGGCAGTAGCTGGACTTTCCACTATGTTAGTCACCAATGAGACTCCACCTTTCAAAATGTAATCACTTAAAGTATGCACACACACCCGTAAGAGTACAAGGAACATTTTCAATATGAAAACAACAGCTCCGACAAAGTTTACACTGTTGAAGGCAGAATTGGCCAAAACATCACTACACAAATTGCTGACTCTGGTGCCCTGAATGCTTTTGATTTAAGATCCTTGTTTGTTTGTTTGTGTAATAGCAGTTTTAGTAACAGAACTTCAGAAAAAAAATTATGACTGCAGTAAATGAAGTATTTTACTCTATGGATTGATTCTCAGAGGACACTAGGGTGACCATAGGGCTAGACCATATGCAGACATGAAGGAATTAAAATTTCAGGAGAGAAACAGGGTGCCTGGCTGGCTCACACATATGTATGTATATGTGTTTGAGAAAAAGAGAGAATCCATGCTCAGAGCAGAACCTGATTGGCGGGGACGGGCGGGGGGGGGGGGGGCGACTCAATCCCACAAGCTAGGGATCATGACCTGAGCCACAATCAAGAGTCAGATGCTCAACTGACTGAGTGACCCAGGTGCCCCAAGCTTTAATGAATATATTTTTAAATAATACAAATCTTTCATATTAAGAATGCATTCAGGGGCGCCTGGGTAGTTCAGTCGGTTAAGCGTCCGACTTCGGCTCAGGTCATGATCTCATGGTTCGTGGGTTCAAGCCCCGCATTGGGCTCTGTGCTGACAGCTCAGAGCCTGGAGCCTGTTTCAGATTCTGTGTCTCCCTCTCTCCCTGACCCTCCCCTGCTCATGCTCTGTCTCTCTCAAAAAATAAGTAAACTATATATAAAAAAAAAAGAATGCATTCATGCAGCACCATTATTCATGGAGCCAAAAGGTGCAAACAACAACCCAAATGTCCATCAACCGATGAATAAACAAAATGTGGTATGTCATACAATGGAATACAATTCGATCATAAAAAAGATTAACATACTGATAACATGTTACAATATGAATGAAACTTGAAACATTATATTAAGTGAAAGAAGCCAGTTCACAAAAACCCACATATTATGTGATTCCATTTATTTGAAATGCTCAGAATAAACATATCTATAGAGACAGAAAGTACATTAGTGGTTGCTTAGGGCAGGGGACTAGAGGTGATAGTCTAAGAGATACAGAGTTCTTTGGGGGATGATGAAAATGTTCTAACTTTGATTACAGAAGGGGTATACAATCCTGTGAATATACTAAAAACCATTTAATTATAAACTCTATGCAGGTGAACTGTATGATATGTGAATTATATATCAATATATACCAAAGCTGTTACAAAAAGATAATAATAATCCAACAATTTAAAAGCTAATTCTAAAGAGAAGACACACCACTGCTAAGAATGCAAAGAAAGCTAGAATGTGAAGTAGTCTTATGTTACAGGGAACATGCAAAATTAGAAGGCAGAGAGGGGCGCCTGGGTGGCTCAGTTGTTAAGCATCCAACTTCGGCTCAGGGCATGATCTCACGGTTCATGGGTTCAAGCCCTGCATCAGACTCTGTGCTGACAGGTAGCTCAGAATCTGGAGCCTGTTTCAGATCCTGTGTATCTCTCTCTCTCTCTGACCCTCCCCTGCTCACGCTGTCTCTCTCTCTCAGAAATAAATAACATTAAAAAATTTTTTTAAAAAAGATTAGAAGGCAGGGAAAAGAATAGAGCTTCTATTTGATATTTATATAAAAAGAATAAAAAAGAAATTAAGATTCCTGAAGTGTTTAATGTGGTTGACAAGTGCCTTTACTCAGATGATCATGTACCCTGTGAAACTCAAGAGGCATTCTAACAGCAGGAATTCCAAAGAAGACAATCTGGGCTGTGGGGGCCTTATGCATTTTCCCCTGTTCAGCATATTACAACATATGACCAGTTACACGGGTTTGTAGATATACTATCTAGATTTAACTGAAGTCATCCTTGCTAAAATAAGTAGATGGCTGAAACACTGCTTGAAGCTTATAACTGTATTTCATGCACAAGTGAAAAGAAAATGGAAGAAAATTATCTGACTGCTACTATGATCTCTTCAGCAGCTAGCACAGAATGATAAATATTAACAATATATATCTGTTGCCTGAATATTATGGAAGTCATAAAAGGCAAGAGACAACTCTAAGGAAAGCTAGGAAACAATTCTTCACTTTTAGTACATGTTACCACCATTCCCTTACCCCACTATGGAAGGGGTAACTATGGAAATAGCAAGCATTATGATTAAATCATATCAAATGGAAACACAAAAGAAATTTATACATGGATATGCTTTATGTAAAAAACTAAACTACAAGGGGCCAGGTTGTTTTCATATATCAAATTCCTCATGAATCTTACTTCACGATGTGTCCTAATTCACTCATGTATGTAAGGGCAATAGTACCTCGTAAGGCCAGAGACATACACAAGAAATCTAAAGCCCTGCATATCCGAAAATTATGTTTCTCTTTAGCTAACTAAAGACCAGATGTTTGCTTTCTTAAGGGTGAAAAAAGCAACTGCAAGTTTTAGTAAGTTATCGTACTATCAACTGTCACATGACAGTGAGAAACCAGGAAGTTGGGAGAGCTTGAGGACAATGTTAGAAAAAAAAGTTAACAGGGAAAAATGTAAAAATAAGACACAGCAATGGGAGAGAGAAACCAAACTTAGAAAAGACTATAGGCTAATATGTAGCAGGTTATCGACTTCACTCTGAGATTCTTGCCCTGGGTCGGAACTAATAAGTATTTCTACAAAGTATCTGCATGATCCCCTCAAATGAAAACCTCCTCCACCAGGTATCACTAAGCAAAGTTATTCTGTAGTTAGGTAGTGGCAGCAGATTAAGTCCTTAAGTGAAGGTTCATAGATTTCATGGTTTATTTAAAAGGATGCAGAGACCAAGGGGGGAAGGGGTGTTGGGTTTGCTTTGGGGCTTTTTGCTTGTTTGTTTTCAATGCGTATTTTAGAAAGGGGGATTTTTAAAAAGCACTATCGGCTGACAGGCAAGAAAAAGAAAGGGGGGTTCAAAGTTAATTTGGGCACGTCGGCTAAAGCCCGGCACAAAGAGTGTACCACCTTCAGCAGGAAAGAGAAAAGAAGGATCTGCACAGATGAAGAAAAACATTCAACCCTTCTTAGGAATAAAGGTGGACAGTGTTTGCGGCGTGGCCTCTCTGGCAAGCCCAACCGCGCGGCCTTATAAAATCCCAAGGATTCTGTCCACTCCCGAGAGCAAAAGAAGCCCCCAGCGAGGAGCCAGAAGTCCCGGACACTGTTTGCACCTCGCCTACCCAGGCGATCTCAAAGCGCGTCGTCTCCTCTCCCCCACCTGGGATGTTCTGCCACTTGGACTCGACGCGTGGCAGGGCCCTCCGTAGCCATATTTCGCTAGATCCTTCCTTCTTCCACTTTCCACTGGCGAAGCAGAGCTCCCGAGGTAATCACAAGACATCGGCTGCAGGAGGCTTTCCTTCCGGGCGACAGCGGCCCTCACCCTGCGGAAATCCTGCAGCTCTGCTGAGGTGGCCGGCTCCAGTCGGCCCCGCCTACGGCTCCTCCTCCCGGGGGTCCCGGGCTCCGTGCCGTCGCAGCCGCTGTCAGGGACCGCCACCGGGCTGCTCAGCTCCCGGGCACCCGGGACTCGCGGCGACCCTGTGCCCAGCGCGTAGGAAGAAGCTAAGGAGGTTTATTTTCTGTGCCCTGGGGCCGAAGTCTGAGAACACAGTCATAACCTAGCGCCTCGGGTTGCTTTTTCCTTTCTTTTTTTTTTTTTCTCTTCTTTTTTAGGGTTTTTTTTTTCTTTCATGACCCCTAAATAACACTGAATTGTTGCTATTACCTTTTGTGTGGATTATTTCAAAATCAGATAGTATAAAATTGATGTATTTGATTTAAATATTTTTGCTTATTTCCAGAATGGTGGCATTAGTGGACCTTCCCAGAACACAATTGATAGTGAAAAGACGAAAATGCATGTCTTTTGGGGAGCCTGGGTGGCTCAGTAGGCCAAGCGTCTGGCTCTTGACTTTAGGCTCAGGTCATGATCTCACCGTAGGTGAAACGGAGCCCTGGGTCCTCTGTGCTTTCAGTGCAGAGCCTACTTGGGATTATCTCTCCCTCTCTCTCTCTCTGCCCCTCCCCCACTTGCATAGGCTCTTTTTTCTTCCTCTCTCTCAAAATAAACTTTTTTTAAAAAGAAAGAAAAGACATGTCTTTTATTTATTTTTATTTTTATTTATTTCTAGGAGAGAGAGAGAGAGACAGCGTGAGCAGGGGAGGGTCAGAGAGAGAGGGAGTCACAGACTGAAACAGGCTCCAGGCTCTGAGCTGGCAGTCAGCACAGAGCCCGACGCAGGGCTCGAACCCACGAACCACGAGATCATGACCTAAGTGAAAGTCAGACGCTTAACCGACTAAGCCACCCAGGGTCCCAAGACATGTCTTTTAAACTGCAAGACTTTGCATCCAGTGCAACCCCTTCGTTTTTTTCACTTACCCAAAGAAATCCCAAATGCCCTACTCAAAAAGCATACCATTCCCACCCCATCATTTTACTGTATTTTTCTTTCCTTCAGACTTCTCATAAGTTCTGCATATTTATTTTCTTCCATACTATTATTAGCATCACCATCTCCACCATCACTGCCACTACAACAACGTAAGCAAGTTGAGGGTAGGAACTGTGTATCTAGGCAGCACCTGGCAAGATGGACTGAATGAACAACTCAGGGGTGAAGTGACTTCCTAAGGCCACACTGTTAACTGGGAGCAAAATGTGAATTGTCAATTGAGCACTGTCATTGCTGCTTTAGTTCACAGGGGAATCATGGGAGGATTGATGCAAAACATAAGGAACTTAGATTTCTGTAAAGGAAAAAAACAAAGATAATTTTGGAATTACAGTATAATTGTGTCTGCTCCGTGCTTTGCCGCCACTCCACATACCATTCTGAAAAGTAGGTAGTTCATTTCATAAACCTAGTTTGGAGGTATGGTCACCATTTTGGGTGGGAATAAAAACAAATGGCATTAGAGATACCAAAATGGCCAGAAAAACAAAGTGTGTAATTGTATTTTTGCAAGAGACATTTTTTTCAAGGTTAATGTCAGTGTACAGAATGAAAACGAATATGACTCACACCCTCTTTTTGCACATTCTTCCTATGGCAATTTTAGAGATAAAAGACATAACTGCAGTATAAATCATTCTGAAGGGTTAAAATGAGTAGTTGATTGAGTTAAACATAAAACATTTATTAACTACTCTGTAAACACCATGCATTTACATACATCATTTTTTTCCACCTGAAGAGACTGAGGTAGATTAAAAGGAACACTAACTAAGGAAGGCTATCAGTCTATAAGATGGAGATGGAATGAGATCATGCAAACTATTTATCAGAACTCCTCTCAGGAAGATGTTGGGATTAAATGTAGGTGGAAATAACATTTTGATAAACTACTTAGGTTGGTTGGTAAGATCAAGGGAGGGGCACCTTGGTGGCTCAGTTGTTTAAACATCAGAATATTGATCTCAGCGTCCTGAATTCAAGCCCCACATTGGGCCTTAATGCTGGGTGTGAAGGCCTACTTAAAAAAAAAATCAAGGGATATGCCCCAAGAACAACAGATAGTCATCAATTTAAATGCCTTTGAAAGAGAGAAAATTCCTTCCCCAAGTGAAGTATATAATTTCTGTTATAACCAAAGTGAGGTATTTATCATCACCCTCTACCCCCACACCCCTAAACCACACCTTTGCTATAGCTATGGCAGTAGCTGTGTTTCTCTACGACCACAGCTGCTGCTGGAGGTCCATCTTACAGGGCTCCTGCTCTTTCTTGCTGGGCTCTAGCAGAACCATTTCTTCCTTTTGCCCCTTCAAGCATTCAAGAAGTGCCAAAGATTTCCAGCCCGATGCTAGTCCATGGGTGTTTCACCATCATTGTTGATTCCCTTAACCCTGACCCCAACTCTGTCCCCAACTCTGTAAGTAGTCCCTTCATTAATTATTTTTAAGAAATAACATCAATGGTTTTTAAGTTTTTTAAAATCCAGTTGATCTTTTTTAAGTAAGCTCTATGCCTATTGTGGGGCCTGAACTCATGACTCTGAGATCAAGAGTCTGACACTCTATCAACTGAGCCAGGCAGGTGCCCCAATCCCGTCATTAAATTTTTAATTAACCCCCCTGAGTATACTATGAGTTTCTGTCCAGGTCTTAACTAATACAAAAGGAGTCCTCCTCTTTTGCCTTTTAGGACATAATGTTCAGCCCCTGTAAATAAATGTATCAAAAAAAATTTTAGGATGATCAGTCTGAAAGGATGCCAAATTATGTGCCTATTTGGGGTAACCAAATGTCTCAACCTAGAGAGGTGAGGGATCATGAATGCTAGAATTTACTTAAACATATCACATTTTTATTGAACATTTTTCTTTTTTTAATGTTTACTTATTTTGAGAGAGAAAGAGCATGTGTGGGGGAGGCACAGTGAAAGAGGGAGAGAGAGAGAATCCCAAGTAGGCTCCACGCTGTCAGCACAGAGCCCAATGTGGCTCATGACCATGAGATCCTGACTTAAGACAAAACCAAGAGTTGGACGCTTAACTGCCTCTATTGAGCATTTTCTACAGGCAAGGCACATGCTTAGTTTCAGGGGATTCCGAGGTAACTAAGATAGTTGTGTCCTCAAGGAGTTTTCAGCTAAATAAATAATATAAAATAGGAATAATAATACAGAGTAACATAAAGTTGTCAAAAATATACTTTAAGGGGGTCAAATTCTTTTGGCAATTAAATGTCAATGATTTTCGACAAAGGTGCCAAGACAATTCAATACAGAACAGATCATCTCTTCAACAAATAATGCTGGCACAATTTGATATCCATTTGTAGAAAAAAAATAAGCCTCCATATTTACCTCATAGTATATACACAAATTAAACTTGACATAGGTCATAGTCCTAATGTAAGAGTTGAAACTATATAAAATTTCCATAAGAAAACATAAAAAACATCTGAGTGCTTGGTTTTGGCAAATATTCCTTAACACAACATAAAAAGCATAAAAAGCCCTTACATTTCAATGGTAATAAGATGAATAACCCAATTTAAAAATGAGGAAAAGAATTGAAGAGATACTTCTCCAAAGAAGATACATGGAATGACAAATAAGCACATGGGAAGATGCTCAAAATTAGTCATTAAAGTGTGCAAGGTAAAACCGCAATGATATACCACTACACTCCTGCTAGAGTGGCTAACATCAAAACAACTGACCACACTGTGTATTAACTAGGATGTTGTGCAAGTCGAACTCTTCTATACTGCTGGTAGTTATACAAAATGGCAAAATCACTTTTAAAAAATTTAAGAGTTCTAAAGATAAGCATACATCTACCATATAATCCAACCATTCCATTGTTAGGTATTTATCCATATTCACATCTATTACTATATAACAAGATTGCCACAAACCTAGCCATGTAATTACCTCATAATTTTTATGGTTCAGGAGTCAGGGTATGGCTTAGCTGGGTCCCCTGCTTTAGGGCCTCACAAAGTTTTATCTGAGATTCAAGTGTGGACAGATTCATTTCCAAAATCACCTGTTAGCAATACAGTAAAACCTTAGATTGTGAATAACTTTTTCTGTGAGTGTTCCAGAAGACAAGCAAACATTTCTAATAAATTTTAACTTGATAAATGAGCAATGTCTTGCAACACAAGTAGTACATGATGCCAGATGTCACATGATCACAACTGAGCTAATGGTTCTTCTCTTTCTTTCTCTGTCTTGGTGTCTCTGAGGGATTGTGGGTGATTATCTCCCATGCTCAGATGCTGTCTCAGGCCATGGTGTTTGGCAGAAATCAGTGATTTTTCAGAATGTTGAAAGGTGCCCACAAGTGGTACTAGTGTATTTTTGTCACTTCAAAATGCCTATGGACAGTCTTTTGCTTTTCCATACAAGAGTAAGCTTAGGAATGCTTTGCTTCATTCTAGGTCAGGCTACATGCAGGTATAGACCCTTTCCTTGGATGCCTATTGCCAGTTATATTAAATACAGTATATGACAAGAGTTTATTAATCCGTGTGAGTGTATACAATGGCCCCTGTGAAGAAAAAGATTGGAAAAAAAAAAGGCAGTAAGAAGGAGATGACTACTATGGAAGTTAAGGAAATCATGGAGAAGTACGAATGAAGTATGTGAGTGGCTAAAACTGCAAGATTTTATAAGAAGTCTGTGTCTGCATCTCATCTACAGAGGAGAAGGAGAAAAAGGCAGAGGAACCCCTCACTTCAAATGAGATTAGGGAGATGTGTAAAATGTGGGAACAGTGCAAAATTTTGTGGAAAAGCACCACCTGAATAAGGCTGTAGCAGTGCAAGGAATTAATCTGTTTTCATCAATGCAATGTCACATTTCTGTAAAATCCTCAAAAGAAGGCAAAAGCAAGTGCTATT